GTCTCCTCACTTTATTTGCTAAAACTACACTAACCTATACTCATAAAAACAAATGTACGTTCAAAAAAACTCAGATTTTCATCATTACAGTATAAGGAATAAGAACCAATTTTGGTTAGATAAACATAACTTAACTACTCTTGAAAAGTCGCCTGGATATGCTCGTACACGAATATACAATAACAAAAACAATTGTTATTTGCCAGAATCTGTTAAACAAATAGATAACGTTATGCTCTTCAAAAAGCACCTTAAGATAATGCTCTTGTCTAACACCTTCCTTGTATTTTTGAATAACCTGAAATAATACAATTGTCAGGAGGTCTACTAACTTGGCATTCACATGAGCTTTTTAAATTTTCTGTATTCAGTTTGCTTGTTGTTCTTTTAGTCTGTTTCTTATTTCGTCTTTATTTTTGCTATATTGTGGGTTATATACGTACATATGACGTGTTCCTCTTTATACTTAGTGTTCGGACTTAGGAGTTTGAATTTGAATTTGAATTTGAATTCGTATTCGTATTCGTATTCGAATTCGAATTCGAATTCGAAATCGAAATCGAATTCGAAATCGAAATCGAAGTCGAAATCGAAATCGAAATCGAAATCGAAATCGCAATCGAAATCGAAATCGAAACCGAAGTCGAAATCGAAATCGAAATCGAAATCGAAATCGGAATCGGAATCGGAATCGAAATCGAAGTCGAAATCTTTGAATTTGAATTTGATACTTAGAAAATGTACTATCATTTCTGTGATCACACAGGAAGGATGCTACTACTTTCCAGTAGCTCTGATGGAGGCACGAGACTCACAGACTCAAATAACCTACAAATTACACTACTCAAAAACATTAAGGCAGCAGTAACATAATCCTATTTTTTCGGTGAATATGACAGGCTGTATTTCGGTGAAAACGGTCGTATCTAGATTAAAAAAAAATTGTTTTAAGGCTTCAAGATTCTGGTATTTAGGTGTATTATCAAGAAGATTTTAGAAGCAACGGTTCTCATGCAATTGTAAAAGATGGCACAAGAAACAATTATTGCAAAAAAATTTCCTTCTTCTTCTTAGTCCAAGGGCTTGAAATTCAGAATCAATATCCTGTTTTTGAAACCTGGATACGATCATTTGGTGCGGAGATATCTTAATTTTGAATGATAAAGGATTCTTTTGTCATCGACCACTGACACCTCGGCAGACAACGATCGCACAGAGATTGTCAGGATATTTCCAAAAACTGGAATAAGTCTCCTACAAGATTTGACTGCAACATTTGAGCAATTTTTTTTGTTTCTTTAGTGTCGAGTCTAAAATAGTCACCGAAAGTTTCTCCTTGGCTTGTCTTGTAAAATCGGCTGCAATTTTTATATCTCTTTGCACGACGAGAAGTTGGTCAAAATTTGAAATAAATCAAATGAGCAAATTTCAAAAAAATATTTTTGTTCTTTTGTTGTCACTATTGGATATCTGTAGCACCTTCAAATTTGAAATAAATCAAATGAGCAAATTTCAAAAAATTATTTTGTTCTTTTGTTGTCACTATTGGATATCTGTAGCACCTTCAATTTTGAAAAAGCAATTGAAAAAATTTTTATTGTTTTATTCATGGAATATTCTAAAAACCAAAATACTGACCAAAGACAGATTTAGGAATTTGTCGGTCCGGAGAGTACAATTCTCTCTCATTAGCAGTTCAAAAAATGTGACCGATTTTCCAGAACAAGACAAAAAGTAACTTTTTTTACTTTTTTATAGTCAATACTGAGGAAAGAGAAAAGCCTACTTTGAAGATTACAATCAAATCTTGTAGAGGATTTATTCCAGTTTTTGGAAAGATCCTTGCATTCTTTGTGCGATCACTGGTTACCGATATCAGTGGATGATCGTATCTAGATTTCAAAAACAGCATAGTGAAGCTAAATAAACGGGCTTTCTGATCCAGAAAAAGATGTTTAGAAGCCCGTGGACGGAAAATAAGGAAGGTAAGAATTTGGCAAAAAATGTTTCTTGCGCTATTTGTTAGAATTGCACGAGAACTGTTGCTCCCTTTGGGATATTAAAACTATAAGCTACAATCTTTAAGCTTAAAATTCCTAGTTTCATAGTCTAAATCCGATCATTCTCCACCGAAATACATCCTGTCAAAGATCACCTCAAGATTTTAATTTTTTTCTTGCTGCCCTTTTTTGAGTAGTTTGTCTACATCAAACACAGCAGTTTTTGGTAAATAAATTATACAACAACAAAAAGTATAACTCATCTTTGCAACTTCCATGCCTGAAAGCCATAGGCCATCGATCAGGGCTTGATGTTCATGCACTGAGGCAAAGCCAAGGAGAATGGATTAATTATCCACGGTGGTATTACCATAGTCAAAATATCCTCAAACCTAGATTCAAAGTCTGAATAAAGGGCATTTAAATGTTGAACGTAAGTTGAAATGTCGTCTTTCTGGCAGCTTGTCTGTGACAAATTGGGGAACTGAGAAAATTCGCCCCGTCCAATATTTTGCTTCATTAGTTTAACTCTGGCAAGAAACGCTGATAAGATGGACTTTGTTTTAATCAAATTTAAACTGTCGCCTTGTAATTGCAAATTAACCATATTAAATTTTGTAAACAAATCTGTTAAATAGGCGATGTCTGTTTTCCTCTTCATTAAGTTTTCTTTTAAAATTTTACCTTCAGTATCCAGAAATTATAAAATAGTCTCAAAAAGTGCAAAAAATCTTGCCAAACATAGGCCTTTAGACAGCCAGCGTACTTCAGTGTGAAGGAGTAATTTATGAAAGTGTTTGTCATTTTCTTCACACAACTGCGCAGGTATTCAACGCGTTGCTTCGGATTCGGTTTACTGCATCAATGACTAAATGAAGTGATCCATGCAATCTAACACTCAAATTTTTAGCAACTAGATGTTGTCGATGGATGACGCTATGTATTGCTAACACCCCTGACACATTTTGATTTAAATAGCTTATAAATCCACGATAAAGTCCAACCATGGCAGGTGCTCCATCTGTAGCTACTGATATTATATTTGTTAAAGGAATTGCTTTTTCAATGAAGTAATCCTTTAAAACATGAAATATTGATTCACCTTTAGTGTCGGTTACCAAAGTTCTTGATTCGTAATAAAACGAACATATGCCAATAATAATGCTGCATTATCAGGTAAAGTTGACTCGTCCAGTTGTATAGAGAAATGGGTCGTTTGCAAATAATTACGTAAGAAGCTTTCAATATCAGAACTCATTTCATCAATACGTCTTTCAACAGTATTGTTGCTTAAGGGAATTCTTTTAATGATATCAGATGCAGGTTTGTGTAAAACAGTTTTTAAAACCTCTTCAACGGCTGGCAAAATTAACTTCTCTCCGATAGTATGCGGTTTTCCGGATTTTGCTATAAGTAACGAGATATTGTAAGACGCCCGCAAACCATTATCATTTCTTTGTGACGTCGAAGCGAACATTCTGTCCAGTGTAGGTCTCTTCTGAAATTTATCTTTGAGTGTTTGAAAGTATTTCAAATCTTTCTCTGTCAAATAACCAACACTGTACTGTCTACATTCCTTTTTAGATTCGGACATGGCATCAGTCATCTGTGGGCAAAATTAAATTATTTAAATAAGACAGAAAATCCAGCAGCTGTATATTAAAAATATTTTTTGATTTTTCCGAAAACATTCCATAATTCGAACATCTTCTTGCAACAATTAGCTCGAATTACGGAGATTGCACTGTAATTATATTACCGATTGCTAAAACTTTCAAAAAGAAACTATTGAGGAGTACTCGTGTAATTTTGCATGATTGAATATTTAACAACTAATAACTAAAGTCATGATTGGCGTAATTTATCTATCTTTGCTAACTACGAGTACAAAACTAAAATTTAATAAAAAAATAATGTACTTACTTTTCTCCAGCACTCTCAAACAAAATAACACTGACTCACTATAATTTGTGTGATATACTATCTGTTTATATTTTTTTAAATATTTTCTTAGCACTTGCCTTATCAAGATTCAGGAAACGAATAAACGTATTTGTCCCACATTCGTATTTATAGAGTGACGAAGTGAACAAGTCAGTGCAAGGTAGCGAAGCTCTGAGACTGCGACTGTCAGATTTCTACAAGTTCAAAATGTATTGCGATCACAAAGCGAATACCAACATCCTACAACTTACACAATTTTATAAACATACATGTATAATAAATTTTTTACTTCATAGGTACTTTTATAAATAATGTATATGTTTTGATATTATAAGATAGTATGTTGTAAGTAAATAGGTACGATTGTGTATGTGATTGTGTATGTGTTGATATCCACTATCGTGGACCCCCATATTCATTTCATGGACCCCCACATTTTTTTTCGCTGACGTAGACCCCTTGCAGGTTGTCATAGACCCCTAGGGGTCGATATAGACCACTTTGGGAATCAATGATTTAGAGTATCAACAGCTGAGGGTGCCCAATTAAAATAGGCAACTGAGATGCCAAAGAGGGATAGAATATAATATCGCCATCTACGAGACAGTAGCAGCACCAATTACACTTACAATTTAATGTCCCAGTCATCACGTGGCCGCTAGATGGTTGACCCTTCTGGCTGTAAAGTAGATGTGGTCTACTTGCTATTTAATTAAACTAAACATGATGCTTTCGTTCATCCGAACAAAAGGACAGCAAATCATAGACAGCTGTTTCGTGCTTCTTGGCTACTAATCAGCATGATCTAGGCTTGGTCTCTTATCTCTGGACAAACGAACGAAAGCACCGCAACTATCCTCTATACCTCTATACACTGAGAAAAGCGCATGGCTACTATTAGTACGAACTGTTAGGGATCTCTGTTCACGTTCAATAGCCCAGTCAACAGCATGATCGCTAGATCATGTTTAGTTTTTCATAAAAAGTTCAACATCGAATGTATTTACTACACTCACCTGTAGGAGCAACCCAGACATTTTTTACTGATAAAATATCGAAACATGTATGCTGCTAATGTATATTTCTAATATATCTAATACTACTAATACTGCTATTGGATGATTATCGTTGAGTTAGTTATTACTCAATTCTCTTGAAAACAGTCGCATATGAAAATGATCCTTTCACAACCTGAAAAATAAAGGATTACTTGAAATATCTTGTCTATACATTTATCTAGGTTATTATTTGCGGGGTCACTAATATATTCAAAATTTCGATACTCACTGAAACGAAGGTATTCAGTGTTAACGGTGAGAACTTCCCAATTGTCAGAGACAGCGGTTTTTCAATTCTACACATCATAATCAAAATTGCTTGTTTAAATCTTTGACTGCTACTATACCAGTCGCATTCGTATAGACTATATCTATATGACATACTCTGAAAAAACAAAGATAAAGAGGGGATAGGCTAGCAGCTGTATTTTACAGTAGACTATAACTGTTGTCATCACAGGTTTTTTAAAATTTGGAAAGTTTTTAAAACTTATAAAATTTCAAAATTCTGTTTTAAACTGAAAATGCTAGATATATTTTGCTAGTCTTTTGGATATGCGGGTTTGACCAGCCTATCAAGGTTTTATGTACATACCACTTCAGTTATGAGATTTCCAAAGTAACAGATCATTAACAGTTGGCAGAGGATTGCTACAGAATATTCTGCCAGGGAGTAAAATTGAGCATCCGTGTAAGGTATTACAGAACTCACGAATAGACAGGATGCTAGTACTATCAATGAAGTTATTGTTTGCATTAAAGTGGGGTAGCTGAAAGTAGCTTCAACATCACTGCACACACTGAAAACGTAATACATATCCATTATTAAAACAAACATAAATCAAGTAAATCTTCAGGCAGTCTTAGTGTATTTTTAGAATTTTGTCATTTCTCAGCATGACCGCATTTATTTTTTTTTAAATCAATCATTTTTAAGAATACATACAGCAGGATGTTGAAACAACTGGAAATCCTGTCATACACATAAGAGTCTCTGAATACAGATATATTTGATCAATAACAGTAGATTTTTTATTCTCATACTTTAACAAGGATTCCAAATGGAAAATAAGTCTTCGTATTTCGTCATACATTTCAGTTTCGAGTTCAGGGTGCAATACATCCTTGAATACATGGTAGTCTTCGGGTAATTCAAGCTTCATAATTACCCGTTCTCTGATATTTTTCGTAGCTTCGCACAATATATGTAGCTCTGTTTTCAAACATATCAGTAGCGAACAAAATAGGGCGTCATAAGCTGAAATCAAAATTTAGCTAAATACACATAAATAAATAAAAGGAAAGTACATTTCAAAAACAGTTTTTATTTAGCTGTTAATAAATATAATTAAACATTCAGATATCATTTTTCCAATTGCAAATATGGCGTTTTGTACTTCTTAGGTTTTGAACAACAATGAAGCTCGGCCTCAAGTTTCCACATAAAATCATGTTACATCCTTTTCTGTCTTGCCATTGAAATCTAACTCGCTTTTATCTGTAAACTTGAGATAATGATAGTAATATTCGTCTTTATTACTATTATCTACAAAAGGCGAGATTTAGTTTTAAGCTACTCCCAGACCTAAGCTTAGGTAGACTTAGTACATTGGAAGATTTTAAAATGACAGAATTTAAATATACCAATAAAATAAACAAACATAACTTTAAACAAAAAACTTACTTATCCGGCTTGCTAACCTATTATAATGTGCTAATAATTCATCTATCATACAAATATGGCTTAAGTGCTACCCTGAATTTTCGTGCTAGTAATTGTTTAAGTTCTAAGGGAACTGAGTTGAAATTAGTTGATTGATACATAAAACTTCTATAAAAAAGCTTGTTGAGTGAGAAGGCATGTCCAGAGATCTCTTATGTTTGAGGTATGAAGGTTCGATCCAAGATGTATTTTGTCCTCAAGGTATACTGGAGATGTAGAATCGTTGAACAATTTATGTAAAAAATGGTGAAATCATGTTGGAATGTTATTGGAATTTTAAACCAGTTTAAGTAATTAATTTTGTTAGGTATTTGGTCATATTAATCCATTAACAAAGGGACACCATATGTTTTATATCGTTTGGATTCTGCGTATACATATGTATTGTGATCTAAACAAGGAAAATAAACTAAGAATCCATATTTAACGATAGAGAGAACTAAGGTCTCACTTAACCGTTTTTTCAATATGTTCCTTGAAATTAACTTTTTCTTGTACAGCGAAAGAATTCGTTTGTATGCTTTTTGGACTAAAGTATTAACGAGTTGTCTCAAAGGAAGCGGCCCGACAACTTGTACACCTAAAATTTTGGATACGTTACAGAAATTTCACCCTATTAATAACTATACTGAAATTCTCTTTAATCTTATGTTTGCCATTTTTTGAGCATAGGAGAAGTGCTGGGCAGTTATTTGGACTTAACTTAAAATTAAGTATTTTTGATTGTTGGTTTATAGATTCCAGGCCACTGTCCTTTTGTATCATAGCTATCCGTAAACTTTCTGGATTGAAATTATGAATTATTTGGGTATCTTCGGCATAAATTTGTACATACGAATTATTCATTTATGTATATCTGATGCGTATATTAAAGATAAAACTAAACCAAAAATTGAGCCTTGTGGTACTCCGGATATAACGTTTGAAATAGGATAAACGGTGTTATTCAACGAGACTTGGCGTTGGAGATTTTGTGAATACGATTTGAAAAATGATGATGATGAGTTATTATCAAAGTCATAATATCTTAATTTAGCAAGTAAAAGGTCACGATCAATATAGTCGAACGCTATTAAGTAACCAAGAGAAACACCTGTCGATGTCAAAATTTGGTGTAATACGGTTTTTTATAATATCTTTGAAAGCATGCAAAGCAAACTAACGGGAGGAAAATCAGATATGCTACTTGGTTTCTTCACCTTAGGAGCTTCATCATTGTATTGTTCTAAGGTTACGGACTGAAAAACGGAATATATTCAATCAGAAAAATTCTTTTTAAGCTTTTGCTCCTGCTCAGCAGCTCAGTAAATGCTTGCTGTTAAAAACTGATTACTTATCTTTTATTTATTTTTGGCTTTTCAGTATTCATGAGGTTAAATAACTAGTTAGTAATTCTTGTTCTTGTTAACACGTTCACTGCATTAACAGATTCATAAGGCTAGTATATATTATTCCGTTTCGACGAAGGCTACTTGTGACATGTTTCACTAGCGGCGAAAGCAATATCGCATAAAGTGCAAGATATAATCAAACTTTACAGGTACCTGAGCTTTTGAAGTCATATTTGGTGTAGCAATTCTCACGATGAAGCATAAAGTTAAATGAATGTACCCTGAGTATGCTTCGTCAAATTTAAAGGAAACTAAAACACTTTAGGTCATATCATTCAAAATTGGTTCGCAATGAGCCTGTTTATAGGTCTTCACAAAAGTTCTTACTTTATTTTTATTATGAAATTTCTTTAAATATAAATCATATATCACGTAAATACGGGAAACGTATTTACTATAAATCTATAAATGTGTATACGAAATTTCAGCTCATTGGGTTCAAATTCAAATTCTTTATCTTCCCGTTGATGTTACAAAAACATATAGGAATTGTCAATAAAACTTAAAACTAGGGACAAAATAACAGCAAAACAACAGTAAAAAGAAATAAACTGGCGACAATAAAAACAAGTTTTCCACTCTTAGAACACTAAAAATGTCTACAAGAGAAAAATTCTTCAACACTATAAAAACACTGATCGATCAGAAACATTAAAGTTACCTCGTTCAAAATCCAGTTTAACAATTTGACCCTCACTAACATACTCATAGGTCAAATTAAATAAAAGCTTGTAAAAACCGATAAAACGCTTTTTGTGTGACTTGAAATTTCGTAGTTACTTTAGCTGAAATCTCTCTCCGCACTGTTGAGCATTTGCCTTAAACATCTTTTAAAACAATATTTTTATACTCACAAGCAATATATGATGCCAGAATCCACAATCCAACATCCATCATAATAAACGCGTTCTTGCATCCAGCAGTGGTCTCAGTATTAAATGGTACTATGAAGAGGTACGGCATAAAATCATAGCAAGTTTCATTGGCCGTGAAGTATGTGCCTTTCTGGTCAGAATCAAGATGCAACAGTGCAGATATGTGTGCTGAACCTCCAACCATAGAGTAGAGGAAATAAGTGACTATAGTATAGCGATGACAGAACGTTTTCGATTCGTTGAAGATTTTTCTTGGTCTAAAGTTGCCGCACATTTTGTAATAGTATTGCTTGTCTTGTAGTTTGGCTTTCAGCTGAGCGATATTTCGCTGGTTCAAAATCAGTACCACGAATTTGATGACGCCTGAAATACATAATATAGTTATCGATTTCCTCACTTCAATCGTTATAGCTTTTGTTTTGAAGCATTGCAGGTGTCTTGGAATGGATGGATAATCAAATTTCATATTCTAATACAATTGGGGCAAGCAGTACGGTGAGCTCTTAGTGCTCTCCTAAGTAACAAGACGCCTAGGTGGTGGGAACATTTGTCCGTTTTATCGAAGCGGACTGTCATTCAGAGATGCCAGCACCCTTATTACGTAACTTAAAAAGTAACAATGTATCGATTTTTAATAACATTATTAAGGTTTTCCGAAAACATGTCAACTTGAAACTAGCTGCCATTCGCTTGACTTTCACCTGTAGTAGATGTGCGTGTTGACTGAACGTCATGACACTTGAGCTGTCTGGTTTAGCTCTGATGTGATATACAGGGTGACTTTGAAGTTGAGTCATTAATTTTCAGATAATGATTGTAGAAGGAAGATAAACCAAAATATGTGTGTAAAAATAAAAAAAAAATAAAAAAAAAATGTTACCTTGTTTAATAAAGTATCCTCCCGACAAGTATTTCAGTGCGGACCTGTATTTGATCGTGCGGTCTTGGAGCAGCATGCCCTCACCTGTGAGGTCTTAAGTCACCTGATTCACGAGCCCTTTGCACTACATTAACAAAGGCACGAGGGGTTGGTTGCACTCGATTGGGAAACCGATTCGCATAAATCGGTGATGCATCCGGGAGCATTTTGTAAAGACTGCCCCCCGTAAATAAGAATCATGTCCACAAGTTCAGCATTTTCGTAAACATGTGCCATTTTTGATTTCGTTTGAGCCACGCAACACACTACTATTCACTCAGGATTTATCGACTGACGAAAAACATCGTGATAAACGTTTCAAATTCTTTCGCTTTTTTGTTTCCGATGCGATGAACCGGTCAGGCGGATTATATCCGTTGTCGCCAAACACGAGCATATAATAGGCAGGGCGGTACTCAAACTTCCAAAGGGCTACAACTTTGTTACTTTAATTTTACCAGAAAAATGGTAAAGGAAAAAAACATTTCTTTTGATCAGATCTACTCACTGTTAAAATAAATGACTCAACTTCGAAGTCACCCTGTATATCTGCCTCAGAAATGAGACTAATGGGGTCATTCATAGCTTCTATGGCCTAAATTGTATGCTTTACACCATTGCCGGAATGAGGGCTGCTGAACCATTCCTCCATAGATGGTGAAATTGTCATTATACCGATTCATTAAATTGATTTTTGTAACTTATAAAGCTTTTTCTTCTATTGCAGAGTTAATCAGTATTTATAGAATTTAGGTTTGGGTACATTCTTTCGAACGGCCTTGCAAGGAACGGCGTTCCATACAATGCCGGTATAATACATTAATCGCTTAACTTAAAAAACTAACGTTTGATCAAAGCATCTGCGTATATTATTAAAACTACTTAAAAAGTATTTCATTGAAATAAAGCATTATATACGAGTACTTCTAATAACACAAATACATTCTCATTAAAAGTACTCATGAAACATTGAACTTGAACACTATCGTAAAACTAAGAACGTATTCGTGAAAATGTTTTAAAATTAATTTTTAGGCAGTGCGGTGGACGTGGTGGTAGGCACTATGAATTTACTAAGTGGTCCCTGTGAGCTGCGCAGGTTCGAAGCCCATTCTAAGAGAATTTTTCTCTTGGCTATGAATGATGTGATTGTCCGTAGGTAGTAGACGGTCTTAGACTGTCGAGCAAGAAGGTAGATCTCTACGACGGGGACAGATGTGTGCATGTCACATGCACACGTGTTTCTGCGCTAGATTCCGTGTTACGTTCCCCTTTTCCCTATATCCCTCTATACTCCCGAGTATTTAGGCTTAGGCGTGCCTTAAGTACGAGTATAAAAAATAATTACATTATATCGATTTTAAATTTGTTGCCAATAATCTCTAGAAAGAATTAAAAAAGATGAACCGACCAAAATCGGCTTGTTCCTTGTAAGGCCAAAGTGTTAAAGATGGCGTAAGAAACCTACAACTCAGTAAATATTATTTCTTTGACCTGGACATACACATACACCACACATAGAGAAGTCTATCGGAGACAAATAAATTAGGAACCCACAGAAGAGTGACAAAATACACATATACTGACGACAACATAACTGAATAAGGTTTTTTTTAATCTAATGTTGTGAAAACAGCATTATATGGGAACATTTTCTAGTCCATTTTTTTGTTTACTTTGGTAGTACAGCTGCTTTTCAATAATTTGGTGTGAATTAGACCTTGATAAAGCCATTAACCAAGAAGTCCAAGTAAGTTTGTTTGCTGTAAGTCTTCAGGGAGTATACTATAACACCTACGTCCCAGAAAGGTATAGCACCTCTGCAAGATATTTTTTCTGGTTTTGGGACTTCTACAAGATTTTTCTTCGGTGAGTCATAATGATGCTTTACTGTTCTCATGCTGTTTCTGCCAGTATGAGGTTTTACCAGTACTGAGTATACATATACGAGTAGTTGACGAACATCAAAAATATTTGATTCTCGGAAATAAGGATATATCTTTGGTTTCTTAAGCATCGTATTTATATTGCATTTCCGTTTTACATATGTGATATTTGCAGATCCCCATGCAATAATACCGTAGCCGAGATGACTTTGAGCTGGGCCATAATATGAGGTGCGAAGTTATAGAATATCCAAGAATCTACTGGTATATTTGATATTCTGTATTACTGTGCGCAGCTTCCCTATCCCATTTGAGATGAGCATTAATATACATTTTCAGATCTTTTATCCGTTACAAATTTTAAAACCGGTAGAATATACCCGGCTTTCCGCTACAACTAAAAACCGAGTATTGCACCCTAGCAACGCCAAATGTCAACTTTTGGTCGCCCGTACCAGGAACCGTTTGATTTTCTAGGATCACTATTCTAACGAACATGGAAATAAAGTAATAATTTATTTTTTAATTCCATAGCAAATACATATGTCTCAATTCAGATTGAAGAAAAAATAAGGAAACAGTAATTTATTTACTTCAAAGCTTAGGTTTGCTGTGAGCTCGTATTATAGTTTTAGCGTCGACGACCGTAGTGAATAAAGCAAGGGCGTACTTACAAAATAACGACGCAAGGGACAATCCGTCTGTACAGATGGTTGCTGAAAGGCATGCGTCAACGTTGTATACAGTTGGTATGGCCACACAGATAGAAAGCAAACTGATCCTATTCAGCCTAGTGTAACTATGTTAGAGGAAAACGTATGTATGCAAAAAACAATATTAGTAATAATTGTAGTACTTTGAGTTAGTTTGAGTTGGGATAAAAAATATTTTTAGTTATGACTGAAAAATCACCTGCAATATGTGTCATCAGCATCCCAATATGCCTAATGAGCTGTTTCAAATCCCCGATGGTATACTTGATCATAGAGACCTCACACACAATGAAAATTCCAGCTAGTAGCAACAGAAATCCGTCCCACAGGATATGTGCGGTTTTCCTAATATTGCTTCCACCTTTTTCTAACCACACCCCGCTCAGTTTATTAAAAAAATCTATGGTGCGGAAAAAGTTCGCGCTTTTGTTGTCAAGCAACATCTTGGCGATATTGGGGCTGTGTCATGCTACCTTTCTTTATTATATATGGGGTGGTGGGGCAATTAGCAGGACCGTACTGGTTTCGAGTTCAGGGGGCATTTTTTGGATGGAGATTTATATAAAACTACACTCCTAACCTTCAAGCAAATACCAGATTGGTCAATTGGTCTCGGGTGCCTCACAGTCAGATTCTTTTCAGGAAAACAATGGCGTGCCGAAAAGTTTCGCGCTTGGAACCGGGACAGTAGTTTTACATATAGAGATATTTGCCATCTAAAAAAAAACGACAACAGTGCAGCGAATCACGTTTTATATATGAATTCTGACAGTCAAGTTTTGACGGTAGTTATAAATACACAACTGCTTTTCAGAGTTTATTCCGATTTGGGCTCCCGGGCACAGTGAAGAAGCAAGAGAGCAAATGTTCGACCTAGGATGGACGCCAGGGGCTTCCTCCGGCCCAGAATACAGGTTGGACTTAAGCAGCTGCTAGGTCAACATCCCACTGAGTAAATAACCATATAGGGACCTGGGAAAAGTGTAGCGAGAGAGAGGACTGCTGACAAGCCAAGAGCTGGCCTCGACAAACGTAGGACGCACTGGCTACTGGACAGCGTTGATCGCTCAATTTGTTTGGTGAGGATTCTCGTCGGTCACTGTAAACTGAACAGCCATTTGTCTTTACAAAAGGTAACATGTAAAAATAGATTTTGTCAGTCCCATGGACGACGAGACAGCATTCCAATTTCTGGACTTGTGGTCCGTATATTGCAGCATATGTGCTGAAATATTCGGAGCTATGGACTTCAGTAGTATCACATACTGATCGGAGTGTTCAGACATCCTGACCTTCATCAGATCAGAGAGCATGTGAAGTAGGGAGCTGGTACACTCCCAGTCGGCAAAAAGCATCAAAGGCGGCCTGGTGTCAAAGCTTCGCCTCCCGACCACTAGACTGCTACTAGGTTGGCCAATCAGCAAAACAATTTTATGTTTCAAGAACCCAAAACTTCATCAAAGAGGACAGAAGTGTATACCCTATTTGTTTTCCTTTAGAAGACTTTTACTGGCAAATTGTCGATCATTGTGTTGAAGTTCCTTGGAAAAAATGGGCTATTCCGTATATTTCAACTATTTTGGATAGAGTACGAAATGCTCGATTCATTAGTTCCATAGATATTAAATCTGCCTTTTGGCAAGTACCTTTCAGCGAATATACTGCATTCTCTGTCCCAGGTAGGGGTCTTTTTAAGTTTAGGAGGATGCCATTTGATAATGTGAACAGGGTTTTTACATGGGAAAGGGGTGGCTTCCAGCAAAATTGGCTGCAAAACAGCTTCAAGGCAGCTACAAAACAAAGCTAAAGGAATGCGGCTGGTGGTTCTCCTCAATGCCGTCCCAC